ATGTCTTAACAAAAAAAAAAAAAAAAAGCGAAAAATTTCAGGTAGAGAGTTGAAGTATATCACTGTCTGGCAGCGAACGAGAGCTTGGCGGCAATCGTGTACTGACGCATAAGCAATTCGAAAAATGGAGGGAACACCAAGACCTTGAGCACTAGCGAAGCGTCAGCCATGGCGAATCTCTCCAGTCTGGTTCACGAGCTTCGAGAACGTATAGCAGCTTCTTCCTCCACTCCTCCTAATCGTTCCGATGACGTCGGTGTCGAAGTCCGATTTCGCGCCGTCCTTCCCAATCTCCTCCACGCTTACGTCGTTCCTTCTTCTTCAGGTTCCATTTTCTGCTTCTTCGCTCGTCGTCAAATGCTTATTCTGTCTTTCTCGTTTTGAATCGCATGAAACCATCTGGTTTAACTAAATTGAGCGAACGAGTTGTTCGTTTGTGGCATGTTGTTTGTTACTAACCTGCACTTTGGTTGGAGGAAGGAGTATTGGAGAAATGCACTTGCTATTATCTGCTATATTTTGCTGCGTTTCTTTCTTGATAATGTGAATCCGAATTCCATTTCTGTTTCTTGCAGTGAATGAGAGAGAAGTGGTTGCTGTGTTGAAACTCCTCTCACACACTGCGAGGAATTTTCCTGGTGTTTTTTACCATGGAAAGGCTAGCGCCGTTTTGCCTGTGGTTGGTCGGATATTACCTTTTTTTGCGGAGCCCGCTATCCAGTCAGTAATATGTGATATTTTTTCCTTCTTTAGTTTTCTTTTGATCTAGTTGGTCGGGTCATGTTTTCTCGTGTGCCTCTGTCTTTTACTAATCTTACAGAAATTACTCCTAATCCCAGAGCACGATATGGAGTCATTTTTGAAACCGTTGGTTCCCTTTTATCCTTGCTTCGTACTGGAGCACGGGACGCATACCGTCAGTTTTTTCTTGATGCCATGTTAGTTGTTGGAGGTAAGCAGGAGCTTTATGCATCAAAAAAAAATTTCCTGTATAAACATGACCTACTTTTTGTTTGTGTTTGTTAGAATCCGCTTTAGCATTGGTTGAATTACATGGTACAGCATTTGGATATTAAAAACTGTGGCCATGTATTTAGTTACAGGTTGATTGCTGCTTTGCGTCAACTGGGGTATGTGACATTGCCTATGAGATGCATGGATTGTGATTAAACGATTTAAAAAGTTTTAGTAAACTCTCAGCTGATTAGTTACATGCGGTAGTTTATTTGAACCCATGAACAATATTGAAGTATTCTTCATTTTAGGAGCAATAGCTCCCTAACTCCATTTTTCTTGCAGCATGAAAAAATAAAAAATTTGCCAGAGATGAGAGATTGCCAGTGTACTTTCCACTGTACGTCCTCCCCAGGCCTTTAGTTTTTGGCTAGGGTGGGGGCGTTTTGACTTCTCATTTTTCTTGTTTCTTTGGATTGCCCTTGGAGATTATGTTTTCCGTTTTTACAGTGTGCCTTTGTATATGAAAGATTGTCTTCTGCAAATTGATTTTCCCCTAAATTTTTAACTGCACATGCAACACGTTGTAGTTCATTGTTTGAGGTAGCTCACATTCTCTATCCTGATGCAGATATTTTGTACATTGCATCACTTGGCACTGATACTGCAAGCTTTGGGGATTCCAGAAGATTCACTTTGAATTGTTTCTCTGAATCTCTGAAGGGAATCTTTGAGGATCCCGATCATCTTGGGGATCTTCCAGAAGTCAACAGACCAACTGATGGCTCTGGTATTTTGATCAATCTGACGGGGAAAAAGAGGTGGCAGCCTTTTGTTACTTGGATTATTAAGCTTCTTGGTAAATGCTTGGCTGAGGGAACCGTGTACGTTGAAGGGCTTATCAGTATGTCAGATGTTTCAGCAGCATGTTCTTTGTTATGTTATGGAGATGCCGATTTGCAAATGGTAAATGGATAGTGTATTGGTTGCAACTGGAAACTTATAGTTTACGACTTTGTTAATAAAATTCCTCTTCTAAATAGTTTCTTTTTATTTTCTTTTATGATATTCATATTCTCACAGTTGCCTGGAATTTAATTTTTTTTGGAAGGCATGCTTTGATTTTGCACGCATTGTTGGATTGGTGATAGATGACGTCGTTCCTTATCAGCCTTTAATCCAGTCAATATCTACTATATTAAGTGAAGACAAACATGGGCTTCCTATATTTAGGTATGTGAATAAAAGAACGTGAAAAGTTGGCAATTTGACTATTGGAGAAGGGAATATTATTTCCTCATGCTGCTTATCTTTCATTTTAGTTTGCCTATGGGTTCCTTTATTTTGTTATTTTCTTCACACTCTGTTTATAAAATCCTTTTCCAAGTTTATAGGGGATATAGTGTACAGCGGTTAGTTTGCAGTAGGAAAACTATAAAAGTTGTGTACAGATTATTAGAGAAGAATATATATTTTTCACATGTTAACAAAACTAAAGATCGTAAATCATCATTTTCTCCTTGTTCAGATTTCTTTCGTTTAGAATAGCTTCAATCCTTATTTTAAGTTGACTCTTCCATGGGCTGTGCCATGGTGAGCAAAAGGAGAAGTTGAAAAGTACGATGTGTTTGAGGTTTTGACTCCAATCACTTGCATAGGATAATATATTTTTCTGATGTTCAAATGCTCTAGTCTAGGGTTGAGCAATTATGCCGTGATTTCAATCAGGATTTGCTTTAGTTTGCCTTCACACAACAAGTAAAAGAAAGCCTAGTCGTTTATTTCATGAAATTTAAGCTTCTTTTAGTTACTGTCAGTGCTCTGTGAATTAGTTAATATCTGTACCTTTTTTCCTGCTGGCAGAATGACTGATTCTTTAGGTAAATAGCAGCTAACCTATGTCATGAAGGCACTTTTTAGTAACATGTTTCTAACAGCGATTTAGTTTATTTACTCTGGCATTGTAATACTTTGATAATTTGGCAGGAACGCATATTATGATGCTTCTATTGGAGATTGTCTTACTGTGCTATACTCCAAGTGTTGCGATGATGTTGTCAAGCTAACTGCTGCAGACATGGTTGGCATATTTTCACAGTCCCTTTGTAGAACCAAGAGCATGGAGCTCAAGGTTAATTCACATTCCTAATGTCATTACTAGCAACAATTGAAAGTTCTGACATGGTTTGTCACATTCATGATTGCTGATGGTTTCTAGGAGCTTACTGGAAGGGATCTCAAATTAATTTTCACCTTTATATTTTGCATTTTTTAGGTTTCATTATGCAATGCATACATAAGGATTGCTAAAATCTGCCCTTCTCATATCTGGAGGCCTGAAATACTCGTTGATATGCTTTCTTTTCCAGAACCTTGCTTTGCTTTGATAGATTGCTTCCAAGCAGCTCTATCTATTCTTGGTCCTGATTATGTTGGAGGGTCTTTACCTGGCTTGGGTTTGTCAGAATTGAGCAATAAATCAATTGAAAACTCAAAAGTTGGAGAAAAGAGATGCTTAGAGGATTTGGATACTGTTAAGAACAAAAAACTGAAGGTCGATGGAGAAATTGTGAGCTCCGAAGCTGATATACTGGTTGAATGCAAGAAGCCTCACATCAAAATATGTGAAACTGATGTGACTTATGCAAATAATTTGCATAATTTACTTGTTTCATTTATTGGATGTTCAAGAGCTTCGTCTATCAGAGCTGATGGTCTAAGACCAGAAGTTTCATTAACATCTCTTAGCATGCTGTGCATTGCATTCTGTCGGCACCCTGAAACTCATTTGTCCCAGGTCATATTTCAGGAGATGGTTTCATGGATTCCCTGGATATACAAACAGGTAGCTTGATTTACTTTTGTGAATGTTCCAAAATGTTTACTAGAAGACCTAGTTTCCCTGTCCTATTATTAAAATTGAGACTTATTTCTAGGCAAAGCAAGGAAGCTTGACTTCTCTCGATCTATCCACATTTCTTGAAGGAATTCACAACATGCTTCTTTTACCAAGTAAGGCAATTGTTCAGTTGTCATGATAACTTTTTTGAAAGTTTTGTATTTGGCTGATGATTGCAACATTTCAGTTTGTCAATAGGTGCTAACCACTTGCAATATGTTGCTATCGACGCCTGCA